AAACTCTAATCACGTGTGTCTACATCACAGACTCCAGATGTCACGTCTTCTGGTGTTTTTTTAAGACAAAAGACAGTTGATCGCAATTCATACACATCACGAAAGACGAAAATTACTCTATTCAAACAGTTACTCATTGATTAGCAAATGATTAATGTTGGGACATTGTCTTTCAGTACTGATACAGATAACGAGGTGGCTTTAGTGATTGAACTGTCTAAAGCAGCAGGAGCATTTGATGCCAAGGAGTGCACACACTGGGCTAATGGAGGTAAAATACGTAATTCAGCATTATAACTATTACATGTATAACTTTTWGGGTATTTCCTAGAGGTTAAAATCGTCCAACCATGCGCTTTTTACAAGACTTTTGGCATCTTTTGGGGGTTAGAACGACCGCATACACTTGTATCATGTTTTGCTTGTTTTGTCGTGTAGGTTCTGGTGCGGTAGAGCTAGCTGAAGTCGTTATCAAAGCTCTGGAACAACCTGTGCAGTTTAATTTCCTGTATGACCTACAGGTACTACAACACATTGTTGCTTGACGTTCACACTAACTAGCCTTGTGTACTCATTATTTTCTCTAGCCCGTGTCCTTCATTGTTTGGCTACCATCTTTAAAGTGTACTTCAATTAAAACATTATTTTCAAAATCACTTATATGTGAACAGTGTAGTAGTATGGTTGCAGTAGTTTTGTATGTGGAATTTTCTTTTCGGAGGTATAAACATTTGAAAAATGGAAACGAGATGACGTAAATTCAAGACTAATTTATTATACAAAAATTCGGTCGTGGAAAGTACTGCTGTTTTCTTTCATTTTCTAATCATCTTTATAACTGAAATATATGGTTTTGTACACTTTTAGGTTATTTCACTTCAGAACACTTGTCGTAAATCACACTGCAAATTATATCACATTGAATTTACGTCATCTCATTTGCATATTGATATTTCAAATGTTTATATCTCTAAAAAATAGGACCACATACAAAAACTGCAGCCATACTACTACACTGTTCACATATAAAAAATTTTTAAATTATCCTTTCCCCTTAACATACACTTTAGACACTGAGGATTAAAACTACTTCCATGAGGTTAAACAAGTTTTGAAACTTGTTTAGTGAGCCGTGCTCTCGTTGTGAACGGTCACTAGTTAAACTCAAAAACTTTTTATTTACAAGAAAGCTTCCTCGACCATAAAATTCTTAGTAGAGATCCAAGCTTTCGGACTAATTAGTCCATTCTCAGGGAATAATGAGATGGCAGTTAAAATTTTCCTTTTTCGTTTTTTTTTTTTAGTTGCCGGTTGAAGAGAAGATACGTATTATTGCACAGAAAGTGTATGGATCTGATGATATCGAGCTCTCCCCTGAAGCGCAGGAAAGAATTGAACGTTATAAAAAGCAGGTATGGTTCCAAGCGCATGCAGGCAAATATGTTTTTGGAAGTTGGTTGTTGTAGGTGACGCCTATTTACTATAGTTACTTTTGAGAGGAGAGAGTGTACGTATTGTTAATTTTGTGGACTTTTTTCTTGGCTAAAAACTATGGTAGTGGTATTAGCAGTTGGAAATACCTTTTAGTTATTTGTCTTAGGATTGAACGATATATGGTTCCCCTTCCCAGATTGGTCAATTGAAAATTCCTTACTATTTGTCTTACAAAATGCATGTGTGGTATATTTGACAGGGATTCAACGATCTTCCTATCTGTGTGGCCAAGACTCATCTCTCCTTGTCCCATAAACCTGAACTAAAAGGAGTTCCTGAAGGTAAGGCTTCTACACATAACATATATGGCATTCTCAAGTTCCAAATCCAAGGACCATGTTTCTCAGTCTTTTCGCAGTCTTTCTCAATAGCACATGCAGAATCGATGCCGCGACAAAAACGGTTTTTGGTGGACGTCAATCAACATTTCAATGACAGTCCATAGGCACCTGCCTTTGGATATGTTATTTCCCAACAATGTGACGGAACGATTCCCCATGTTCTGTTGTGAGCAAAGTAAAGAGCAAAGTACTAACGTTAATGGATACCAAGATTAACATTTCATCTTTCAATGTGTAGGAATCATTCTTCCAATCAGAGATGTTCGTGCCAGTGTTGGGGCTGGATTCCTGTACCCACTAGTAGGAACAGTAAGTCTATGTACATTAAACACAATAGTAATAAAGATACCTTACACTAATTTGAAGACTAGAATATTTGGGAATATTAGTACTAGAATATTAGACTGCTTGACTGGGTACCTAGACTGATTGAGTGGGTACCTAGACTGATTGAGTGGGTACCTAGACTGCTTGACTGGGTACCTACACTGCTTGACCGGGTACCTACACTGCTTGACTGGGTACCTACACTGCTTTACTGGGTACCTACACTGCTTTACTGGGTACCTACACTGCTTGACTGGGTACCTGGACTGCTGAGTACCTGGACTGCTGAGTACCTAGACTGCGTGACTGGGTATCTAGACTGTGTGACTGAGTGCTTGGGTTGTTTGTCTGGTGGCTGGACTATCTTTGTGCCTAGACTTGGCTCTACTCAATTGTAATGTTATCTACACTGCATGGTGTGATGCCTTGATTATTTCGGGGTTTTTTATTATTTATTTAATTTTTATTCACAACGCATAATTGATCACATGATTGCTTTAGGCCAATCAGCTTAGGAATCTCACATTAACTTTTGCTTGTTATTCCAGATGAGCACCATGCCTGGATTACCCACAAGACCTTGCTTCTATGACATTGACCTTGACCTTGACACAGAAGAAGTTATTGGTTTATTCTAAACAATCTTTTCTCAACTTTCATATCAAGTTCATTAATCTCCAAATATTGAGCCCTTTTAAATTCATAGCTTGATAATCTCATTTTGATTCACAATAGAGACACTTTTTTTCCTGAGATAGCCGTTTTCTGCGGGGGAAAACATACATGTTGTTTGTTCTTCATCAAGAAAAAAATACTGCATTAAATTTGCATATTAGAACAAAAACYTTGGAAAGCTATTTTTATTGCTACTAGTTACGTCCCTTCTTGCAGAGGATTGCTAAGGTTCTGACAGACTCTCATAACCTTGCTGCCTTTCAAGTATTAGGTTTTTAAAGAAAAAAATTGTGAAAAATTTAGGACCTTGCCTTTTTTCCCTCAAACGAGAATAACATTACATTAACAAAGAATCCAAATGTGATCACCGATCTTATATTCATAGGTGCAYGAAATTAGAAAAAGATTATGTATTCTATTCCATTCATATTAAAGGAAAATATATATATAACTAGTAGCGAATTCTTTCCAAAACACTTTCACCTTCCCACAATATTTTTTAATTCCTTTTGGATAGCATACATTAAAAACAATTGCTTCGATCAATTTTCTTCCATTGACCTTTAGTAAGATTACACATGTTTATATCTCAAGCAAATTTGACAAAACCAATAGGTTTCTCATGCCCCGTCCACACTGCCGGATAAATTTGAATCCGAATATTTATTTATTCGGTTCCATTTCGAAAATTCGTTTTCGGTGAAGAATTGTTCCGGATTCGCCCGGACTAGTGTGGACGGTAGGCCTAACCGAATAAATAAAAATTCGGATTCAAATTTATCCGGCATAGTGTGGACGGGGCCTAATTCTCAGGAGATTAAAATGATTTCGTTTTTGTCCTACAAATTGAGCTCTTTTGACGTCACATGCAAGTGGTCTATGAGCTGGGACCACACACAGGTTTACTTTATCAGTTACTGTTTCATTGCTACCATTAATACAGATCCATATATTTCTTCATATAAGTCCCGTACGCCCAACTATTTCTATACACACTTGCTACTCTTCCCCCTCGTCACTTTTCCACTGCCTTAATATTTATTTATTTTATTTAACTCTGCCTTTTGTTTTTTGTTTCTCTCCCCCCTCCCCCTCCCCTGCTTAAGTCCAAATATCTATGTCTAACATAGTGTCATCGGTTTTCCGAAATTCCGTGATTCCATGCTTTAAAAATGGCAAGAGTATGCTACTTGGTGTCAAGCAAAGAAAAATGTGCTGATGATGTAAGGTAACCCTTTTGGTGCATGAGAATATGGCACGAGTATGCTTCGTGCTGATGATGTAAGGAAACCCTTATGGTGCATGTGAATATGGCACGAGTATGCTTCGTGGTGTCAAGAACGCTAAAGATGCTGATGATGTAAGGAAACCCTTTTGGTGCATGAGAATACGGCACGAGTATGCTACTTGGTGTCAAGCAAAGAAGACCTTAAAGGTGGTGATGATGTAAGGAAACCCTTTTTCTTGAGGTAAGTGTATATTGTATATGTATACACAATATAGACCCTTTGCATKTCTCTATTGTGTCTAACATTTCTATATATAGACCCCTTGCGCGCGACGTCAAAGGAGTTCAATTTGGAGGACAAAACAAAAGAATTTTAAACCTATTGTGTTGCTCTGCAAATTGAGCTGTATTCCGAAGTGCTGCAAGGGGTATACACCTAATTCAAACCACGTCTTCGCCAAAGGCGATAGGCAGTAGGTGAAAAGCGATAGGATATATGTCATTCCAAGATCCAAGAATAGCTGGAATGACTTGTGTTTCTTCTTCTTMTTCTCGTCAAGAGTATGGACCTTAGTGTTGAGACTGATTCAATGYTTTTTGTATTCAACGAAACCCATTTCCATGTCRAATGACCTATCGCCTTTGGCGATGACAACGTTTTTTGAATTAGGTGTATACACAATAAACGTCGATTGGCTGTCTAGTGTCTATTGACCAAAAAACGAAGATACAGGTGTCTGTTATGCCTATTATTTCTAGATATCCGCAATAGGTGTCTATTTTACGTATCGGAAATAAAGACGACTAATAGACCCTAACTCTAATGATGTTTCATACCTAAAATACCACAATCTTTCCAAATCTCTTTTCATAACCAATTGTCCTTTAAGAAGATAAAATACGACAATAGTGAAAATAAGCACGACAAKAAAAAATAMCGAAAGGGATTCTGGATGCGTAGGTATAACACGTTACCATGCYTGAGGCCTCTTGGCAAATATGAGATTTCACTATGCATTGTGAAGTATAAATTAAACCACCCCCAGACATTTGTTAAGTTTCTCTCTCGTAGTGGAAGAGTTAACTTCGTGATTTATCTTCTGTTGCAACAAGCTCATCGATAATTTCCAAGAAGAGATAGCCCAGCTCCTGTCGCGACTGTTTAAAAGTGTGGTAGACATGGATACTGTTAAACAAGGCGAAGCGGCTTCTGAACGTCCCGAGGTAGACAGTCAATACTTTCTGCGTTGTTTTATTCCTTGTTTACTATAGCCTTTAGAATAGCGTATTTAAGAATACGTACSCCTTTCTCGATTGAACATATGATAAGTAGAAAACTTCGGTTATCGTTGCCAACCGAACGGCAAAAAAAAATAACAGACGGTAAAACGACATTCGTGAGGCAAAAAATTTCTCTTAGACTTTTGTTATCTATTAGAACATCGAAATTGCAACCMCAAATTGCCATTCTCGGGATTTCGCCGAAAATAGGATGTCGATAGGATGGGAGAAACATCATMATAACACTGAGGTGCTATATAATAGTAACTCAATCGTGATGAAGTGTATATCATGTGGAACTTGAATCTATTATTAGACTTGAAGTTTAATAGAGTTTTTGTCAAATTTCTCAGCGTATTTTTAGATGTTTCGAATATCGACTCGAAGGACCCTTTGC